CTCTCTCTCTCTCTCTCTCTCTCTCTCTCCCCTTTCTCTCTCTTTAAAAAAAAAAAGAAAAAAGAAAAAAAAGAAAGATATTGTTTCAAAAATAAAATGGCAGGCCACAAGCTGGGGGACACATCCGAACACTCTGTGTCAAAGGACTTCCGTTCAAGAAGCCGGAGGAGCACTTCCAACTCAACAACAAAACCATCCCATTTTTATAACATGCAGAAGTCTCGGGCAGATGCCTCCCAAAGAGGATGTATGGGCGCCCGCCAAGAGTCACAGGAAAAGACGCGACAGCGCTAGGAAAATGCAAATCCAACCGCAGCGAACACCGGCTCGCACCCACCCACTGGCAAAAAATGGAAAGACGGAGTATTGGAGAAAACGTGGAACAACTGTGGCCCCGTGAAGTAGAATGGCCACTTGGATAAAAAGAGAGGCCATTTCTGAAAAGGTTTGACCTCCAGGGCTGTGGCTGGGTGGAAGGGGGCTCGCCTGGCCTGCGTGAGGCCCTGGTTCCATTCCCAGCACAGCAAGAAAACTAAGATTTAACATCCACCAGCAGAGGACCCGGTCATCCCATTCCCGAATATTTACGAGGATAAACTGAGCTTGGCCCAAGCAACAATTTGTATTGAATGTTCATAGCAACTTTATTTGCAATGACTGAGACCTGGAAGCAACAGGTATCCATCAACAGGTGACTAGAGAAACAAAGGTGGACACATCCACACGGTGGGATTCTGTGCATATGTTTTTATGCTCACATAAAATAGGATGAAACAAAGACTGATCTTCAGTGATCAGTGTTAGATGCATGTTTAGTGTTTGGTGATCCATCAGTGTTTGCCAGGATTAGGGGAGGGGAAGGACAAACCGCCCAGGGAGCTGGACTGCAGAGGGAGATGTCTGTGGCTTTGCTCGTGGAGGTGGCTTCGCAGGTGTACACAGGTGTCACATGTATGGTTGATCATACTCGAGAAATTTATCCATGGGCTGGGGTTGTGGCTCAGAGGTAGCGCACTCGCCTAGCATGCCTGAGGCCCTGGGTTCGATCCTCAGCACACCTCATAAAGTAAAATAAAGACATTGTGCTCGCCTATAACTAAAACATATTTTTTAAAAAAAGAAATTTATACGTTAAAAAAAATATTTTTGGTGCTGGGAGTGGAACCCACAGCATTACACATGGAATGTTTTCCTCCAGGGCTTTGGGGAAGGTCTGTAGGTGGCCGTCATCACATCCAGAGGTTCAGGCTCCACTGCATGAATACCGAAGGGTACCAACAGCAATACTAGGACGGTGTCT